AGTATCGAAAGGGAACGTACTCGGTTACTAACGTAACCTCGGTTCCCTGAGATACGGGAACAAGTACTGCGTTGCTAGCCGTGCTATGTAGCTGCGCGACTCAGTTGTCGCTTCAGTCGAAGTAACCTGAGAATCCTGTGGCGAACGCTCGCTTATATAGCCAGATGCCCCGCCCATTCTGGCGGGCTTTGGCGGGCTTCGTCGCCATAGGCTCGTGCAGCTCTGCTGCCTAGCCATTGGTTCGTTTTTAATACACTGCACGAACCAATGGCCAATTACAGGTTAACTCATATTCACATAGAAAACAGCTGTTTTAAATTATAATAATATTTCATAATTTAACTGTATTTTTGATAAAATAAATGCAGTTACTCACACTGTTCAGTGCAATATCTTGTAGATTCACTCCTATGTATTCATATTCATAACACTGTAAATATGTTCACAATCGTGTCACGTTTATTGTGTCTCAAACTGTCTCTGTGCACTTTTATATTTTATTGTTTAAGTTCATTATTGTGTGGTGTATGTGTATCTGTGCACTGGAAGCTTCACTATTGGGAATGAAGCTTGAATTGTGATTTTGTTGGTTTGGATGCACCGATAACATCTTTGCCATTCTTAATGTGTCTGTGTCGAATAAACCTACATTTCTTAGTGTAAAACCGCTGTGTTCTCCTCATCATGTGATCGTCTCCTTCTTTTCCTGCAGACGCTTCAGTGTCACAATAAGACGGCGAATGACTTTGTGTTTGTGGGCTCGTCGTCTCTCATCGCCACCGCAGGCCTGTCCACAGACAACAGGTACAGCCGGACACAAACACAGAAAAATCTGAAAAATGTAAGCTTCAATGTTCAATTCATAAAGACACTGTCTCGTCACAGGAACGTGTGTCTGTGGGATACTTGTCATACCCTTGTCATTATACAAATTTATGTCCTCATTTGTCACAAAAACGCACACACACTCACACACCCCTGTAGAAGCGTGTCTAAACGAGTCGTGTGCTGCAGGCTTCAGCTGTCACGAGTCCGGCTCCACGGTTCTGGCTCTGGCGTCTAAACAGCAGCTGCTGCTCAGCGGAGGCCGGAAGGGCTGCATCAGTGTTCTGGACCTCAGTCTGAAGATCCAGCGCCAGAGTTTCCAGGCGCACGACTCGGCCGTCAAAGCGCTGGCCGTCGACGCCAGCGAGAGCTGCTTCATGAGCGGATCGGCCGAGGGCAACATCAAGGTCTGAGCCTCACCCTTTATATACTGTCATAGCTCAGATTTTCTATTAGATTTTAGTTTGACATTTTCAGTTTTCATTTTAGTTTTTGTTTTTTACTTTTATTATTATAAAAAAAATTTTAGCCTTTGTTTATATCAGTTTTAGTAATTTTAGTACCTTTTTGTAAAAATTTACTACTTAGTAACTGTAGCAGTATTTCAGTTAGTTTCCAAGGCAACATTTCTAATTTAAAATTTTTAGTTTTAAAACTTTCATATAATATTTATGTATGTCATTTTATTTTAGCTTTATTTCAATTACAGGAAACAGTTTTTAGTCGTTTCAGCCTTAGTTAAAAACACTTAGTTGGGTGCTTTGAGAGTTACTGGAGAACAGGTTTTGATTGATCTGAAATGAAAGAGAGTGTATGTAAATGAAGCCTGTTTTTAAGGACCATTAAGATTTGTTGTGCATTTTTCATAAAAATTCAACACATTTTCCTCTTTAAAAATTCCTATTACTATAATACAAAAAAGTCATTATTTTTATGATAATACTAAAAAAGGTTAATGTGTGTATGTATGCATGTTGAAAAAAACATTACTGCTTTTTTTTAACATAATATTAAAGTAAAATTTTTTATTATTATTGAATATTAATTATTATTAATGTGTAAATTACTATATGTATGTATGTGTATATATATATATATATA